AGACGTGTGCTCTTCCGATCTCCCCAAAACCCCAAAACCCCGAATATATAAAACAATTCAAATTTCGAGTTAAATGAAATTATTTTCTAAAAAATTAAGGTATATATCTAATATTTTTTTCTTTTTATAATAGCCTTCATCACACCCCATATTAGAATATGCATTCATGGCAATAAACTACTTTGCATGCATCATCTAAATAAACCTACTCATTATCATCAAAAGGTTTGGCGTCTTTTCTAATACAGCCTTTATAATATCTCATATCACATTGCCATCCATCCTAATATCCATTTAATTTCTAAATCTATCTTAGAGTGACTTCAGTCAATGAATGATAATGAGGCCCAAAATTCAATTTATAGCATTTTTAGCACACATCAAAAGAACATTTGTAACAATGGAAGAGTGTTTCATTTGAATCAGTCCGATATAAACTTTATTCATCCTATTGAGGCAGCTAACAACCCTTCAGAGAAGGGAATTTCTAGCAGCAACCTCTTAAAAAGACGAGATTCATTGCCTTTAAGTCCTTATATAGTATTTTCCTATAGCCATGCTTGTGGAACAGTATCTGAGTTTTTTAAATTTCATCTGAATGATGTTTATTTTACTAAGCTTAAATCTTCAATAATTAATGCAATGAAGACTTAATATCGTAGATCTCGGCATTAATCTTGTTCTAATTTTCTATGGTTTTTGTATTTGAATTTTTTAAAACGGTTAGTTGATTCAATAACTTTTTCTCTAGCTGGTTAATTTTATTTACTGTAGGATTAACCCTTCTCTTTGTAGAGCCTTCTAAATTTGAAATTACAACGAGATAAGAGTCTTTATGAGCATGCTTAAGTTATGCTTATATTGGGACTAAGTACTAATTCTCATGAATAAGATATGCCATCTCTTAGTACATAGCGGCTACTGAGTTCACAGCAACTATTGAATAAGCATCAGAAATTATGGCAATAAGTAAATTAAGCATTACAATTGTAACTAAAATTGTACACATGACGAAGAATATCCATACTAACGGAAGACCTACTTAACCGAATTCTGTTGTTTCAAAATCTCCCAATATCATTCTGTAGGCAAATAGAGTAGCGAAAAAGAAGTGCTCAATGAATTACTCATCTTCAGGGTTACCATTAGACAATCTCAGGAAAGAATCTCCAAAAGTAATCAAGGTCAAAAGCAAAATAAACAAGAATATTCCCATTTCATCCATTACTTCAATTAGTGCTCTAATGAGATATCCAGTAGATTTGAATATTCTAAATATCTACAGTATTTTAATCCACATAAAAAATGTAGCAATAGCAAGAATACATCTAGAAAAATCTTGATTTATCTCTATCTCATGAATTTCTAAGAATTACAAAACCAAAACTGTAATGACAGAACTAGGAGCAATTAAATCAAAGTAATTCCAAACTGAATTAACGTAGTTAGACTTTAGTTTGATTAACTCAATCATTTCAATAATAAAGAAGTAGAAAGCAAACACCAATATTATTATTGCCATTGTCCAATTAGCATTAACATAATCCCTTTCATATCTATGTTCATAAACCAAATTTGTGTAGAATACGAACAAAAAATGGAACATAAGAAAAGGAATGACTAAAAAGCTAAGCAAATATGTTCTCACATTTTAATAATTGAACTCTATTATGCTGGTAATTGCTCTATTTTTAAAAAATGCATAGTTTGACATATAGTATAGTTCATTGTAAAATTCCTTAAAATTTGGATCTCCCTATTAGAATATCATGGGTAAGTCTAAGTACTCGAATTTCAAACTGCTTTAATGTTATTTAGCATCACTATCAGTTTCCAATATCTTCTATTAAAATACCTCATCTCTGTAGCCTATTACCTCAGGGAATATAGTCTTATCATCATCTTTTAATACCACTCTGTTAAGTACCTTGATTTACTCTGTCTGCTTAAATCTACTATCTAAGTAAGTTAGTAGGATCGGTAGTTCATATTTTAAAAACTACGGCACTACATCTTTTAATTCTCTAGAGTGATGATCTAAGTCATAGTGGCTTAGATGAGTAAGCATATCGTTAATAGTCGTAATATCAACATTTTTATCAAGCAAATGCATAGGTGTCATCTTTTGGTAGTTATAAATCATAGGCATGTGATGAATGATTTCTGTTTCATTATGACAAGCTCTCATAAGCTTAACTAATTCATGAGGCTTCTCTGATAAAACATGAAAAATTGTGTTTCCATTTGGGAGAATATTTAAAGTCAAGGTTTCTAGTTACTTCTAAGTTATCATTTCTACAGGTAATGATCCATTCTAGATCTATTCAATCAAAGACCAACTTATATATGTAAAACTATGCTAGTAGTATTAGATTCTATCTTGGTCAAAATTGAAAAGCACTTTCTAGATGTCGTAAAATGATAGATCTTTACTAAATCTGCAAGAACTAACATAATTCTGATACTGAACTTGAAGTCTTTGCTTTTGCATTTCGAATTAAAGGTAAAATCTCAGTTTGTAGTAGGGGTGATCATGCCATTCGTAATATCTTTAATCATTCTCTAAACTATCTAGTTCTTTATCTAATATCCTTCCATAGAATGGTATTTTATTATAGCTGATAGGTATAAATTCCTTCTTAACATCATCTATCTTGTAGATTTTTTCTATGCCTTCTTCATTGAGAATTCTCATGGTATTAAGGTCAATCCACTGTATTCTATTTATTGCTTATCTAAGTTTCGTCTCATCTGAATCTGGCCTCAGAATATCCCTATGAATATTTAGCTCAAATTCCTTGTTGAAATTGTCCTTTATTTGGAACTAATTATTCTAATTATTGAAGATTATATATCTCTTAAGGCAAGGACTAAAGAATTCAAGGAATTTACGATCCTAAAATAGTATATCTGGGAATTTCATAAACTGTTTTATTCTTCTCCACTCAATTTATCTATCAGTCTTCTAGACTCTTGAATACATAAACTATCTTTAGTTGAAAAAGCAACATATCATTGTATTCATGTCATCACTAATATGAATGTATATTGGTTTTTCATTCTTTGATTTCAAATCAAGCTGGTAGGTGCAAAAATAAAACTCCATATGAATCTTGACCTCTTTTTCAGACATAATCTCAGCATAAATGAATTTGTAAGTTTTTAGTCCTTCTCTATCTTTATAGGTCCTTAGATTCTCTATATTAAGTTCTCTTTCTTTATAAAATTCTTGACTTTAATCATATAAATTCTAGTCATTCTCTTGAACTTTGCTAACAAATAACACTTTCCCTAAATTCTTTTTATTAATTGTGCGCACATAATCTTTGAAATCAACACCAAGACTTTAAGCATCTAGATCATATGAATCGAGTTTTTTACCATTGTAGATGTCAAAAGTTAAGATCTTACCTTAAGAAACTATAAAAAGCTTGTGGTCTTTCATGTTGACCATGTCGACACTTTCAAATGTAGGTACTCCTTAGAATCTATTGACGGTTCTATGAAGCATTGGGCAAATTATGATACTAGTCTGAGATACCATCATACCCATTCTTTAGGAAGATTCATCCCAAGCAATGAGGCCTAAAGTACCAACTTCTATATTCTTGATCAAAGTCATTATGCATTTTTTAGCCTCTCTTATTTGATCAATGCTGAAAAATCTAAGTCCTGGATTTTTTGAGCTTTTACTTTCCTAGCAAAGTGCATAAAATTGCTCGTCTTAACCGTAAGGCTGAATACCTACACAAAAAACATCTTGGAAAGTAATTATTTTCTCTTGATCATTAGTATTAGTTACAAAGTACATGTTCTCCTCATCAAAGATAAAAAAGCCATTATTTTTTTCATCATAAACATACCCAGAATGAATTTTCCCTTTAATCTCTTTTCTGATGCTTTGAAACTTTTTAATGAGTTAAAGAGTAACACTTGAAGGATTTTATGTTTATTTATCATAGACAATAGTTTCCAAATATAGACTTAAATCCTCTTATGTTTGTATTAATATTCTAACCTAAGGTTTTTCATTTCCCTTTTTTTGATCTTTGACAAGTAATTTAACAACTGAAAATTCCTTTTAGTTTTGTGGAACCATGGAAATATAGTCAATCCTCGAGCCAACTATGCATTATAATTTGAATAAAGGGCTCTAAGCAGGAAGACTTACATCTACCACCAAATATTATGTCATAGTATAATTAAAGTCATTTGTGAAGCAAACAACTTTACTTGGTAACTTTGCTGGTTTTTGATCTTCTCCAACTTCAACATAAATTTAGTCTCTTTTTCCTGATAAGCCTTAAAAGACCAAAGAATTTTCTAGAATTATAATATCGATATAGCTGCCGATTTCTCTTTAGAGTAGCATTTAACATATGATTTCATGTTGATAGTTGAAATGTACAACCCATGTTTTCTAATTTAAGTCATAAACTGAGATAAATCTATCATGAGAAACATAAACTTCTGCCGTCAATTTATCAGTTCTCTATATGTTAAAGCCCTTGAATATTTTGACTTAATTCTAAACTGTCTTTATGAAAATTGATTAGAACTCGATGTTTTAATTTGGATATAACCTTGCCTTATTGATAGTTATATTATTGTCAAAGTTATGATCGAAGTAGAGAATAGTCTCATCTTCAAGTAAAAAGAATAAAGAGGTGAAAGTTAAAGCAATGTCTTTTATTTTCCCTAAAGTATATTATTGTTAAGTAATTGAACTTACGATCTTTAATAGTCGCTTTTTTGACGAAGTCACAGTACAAGTCTACCTCTCCAGATTTTTCTCTAAGACTCATTGCAAACATAAGATCTTTATTCCAAACTACTCTGTATTTTGTTATGCTATCTAATTTCAAGGTTTTGATTAACTCATCATCCTATGCGTTATTGACGTTGTCTAAGAATTGAATTTGTTTATTATCTTTTCGAGGTAATAACTCCCTTTTTGAATGAAGATCAATCTCTAAATCTACTACTATAGATTCTTAGTCATTTAATGGATTTTTCTGTTAAATCTATCTGACTGCAATTTCTATAGTGGTCATTTGAAAGTCTTCAGTCTCTAAGAAAACAAAGAAGTCATTCATTCCGAGTATTCTATAGTTTTTTAAGGGAACAATCTTTTAAAGAGTCCTTGGATTTTCTGCATCGATATATACTGGCTAGGTTGGATCTTCATTCCAAGCAAAGTCAAGATAGAACACCTTGATATAGGTTTTATAGCAACAATAAAGGATCTTGGTGAAGTACTCCACTGCTACTAGTTCATCTGTCTTCTCTAAGTTCATTACTTTTACTATTTGATTTTATGCTAGAAGAAAGATAATTTAAACATATTCTCTGCTGTGTCTGTAGGAAATTTGTTTATTATATAGTGCTGTTGTTGATTAACGGTCAGCTGATTCCTTATATGCAAAAATTACGTATTTGTTGTTTGAATTCCAAGATTTTAATCTTTCTATATAGAATTAGCATAATTAAATGAGTTTTTTTACCTTTTAAGGGCTATTGATACACTCTTTGCTTGAGTTTGTTCCATACTTAGAGGACATATTTACAACCTTCATAGCCAACTCTCAAATGTTCATTCTCGACAGAGAGTAAAATAGTTATGAATTGCCCATTGTCATTCGCATAGCAGGTATCAACAATTTTATATAGCTCTATATCAATAAGATAATGATCAAATCATTAAGAAATATATATAGGTTGATCTCAAGAATAAAGAATTAGCTGTTAATATTATCTACTAACCTGTTAATGGAACTTCATTACTAACATCTTCGAAGTAATTATCACAAGTGAAATTCTAAGGGTTGTTAAAGTCAAGCCAACTATGCTATTAGACCAGATTCTTCCATTTATTTTCAGTCATTTTAGATGGATCAGTGGAGAATTTGCAAAATGGGTCATCAATGTTTTTCTTATATCTTTAGTCTTTCTAGTTTTTGGCTTGTTTAAGCTTTTTATCAGATTTATTCTTCATTTAAAATAAAATTGTTAATTTAATTTCGAATTTCTATAAATAAAGAGATGCAGGGGTTTTGGGGTTTTGGGGTTTTGGGG